TTATTTAGCTCACTGTTCTTGCATTTAGCTAAGTTTTACAAAATTTTTAATTTAAATGATAAAAAACTATATTTAAATAATAAATCCTAAATCTAAATGTTTAAATGTAAAATTTAAACCTTAAATGTTGAAGATCACATTTAGGTAGTTCGGAATGGAACGCAGCCTTTGCTGTTGGTGCTGGCTCATGTTATGATGTCATCATCCCGAGACAATAGCAACCGCTAGCGCTCCAATGCAACTAAAGCTTCCCTACAAGACATCAAACTGCTGGACCACAGCTACCCATATTGTTTTTTAGAAACACATTTTGAATTTGGATTTTAAATGCTATCTTTAGCAGTGTTAGAAGCATTAGCAGAAGTTAGTGTCAGATAACCAGGCTGATGTCATCATCCTGCGACAAACATCAGCAACGGCCACTGCTAGACACCACTAGTTGTTGCTATCGCTGCTGATAATATTTAAAATCTAAATTCAAAATGTGTTCATAAAAACCAATATGGGTGGCACCTGTAGTCCAGCAGTTTTATGTCTTGTAGGGAAGCTTTAGTTGCTTTGGAGCACTAGCGGTTGCTATTGTCTCAGGATGATGACATCATAACATGAGCCGAGCACCAACAGCAAARGCTGCTTWCCATTTTAAAATACCTRAATGTGAACTTCAGCATTTAAGGTTTAACTTTTACATTTAGATTAGTTGTGCACTTGTCACGTATTTGATGTTTTTCCCGATCTCTTCCTGTCTTCATGCCGCTAGTTACTGCGTGTACCTGCGGGTGAAACGGGCCAGTCCAGCGTGTAAACTCAAACTGTGGAGCGCTCAGCTGGTGAATGATCGAGTGATCTGTGCAGAGTGTCAGAGCGACGCCATGTTGAAGTCGGATCGCTGCGCAGGTCATGGCCAGGACAACACCAGGTACAGATGTGCTGGTTTAGAGTCCACGTGGTGGCTCAGCTGAATGACAGTAAAATGCTGATTCTGTGTCCTTGTTTTCTCAACTCTTTATAGAACATTTTGGACGGCAGCTTCAGCTCCTGGCTGTCATGGTTCTTGGGTGCGGGAGCTGTCTTCTGAGCGCTGCCRATGTCCTCCTTACTCTGTCCTCTTTGTCTGAGGTGACAGGGAGACGGGAGATTCACCTCGCCGACCGAGCCAAACCCTCCAATCCAGAGTCGTGGATCAACTCAAGGAACTCCTCTGCATCCTGCCGCTCCTCATCTCATTCTCTGTACTGTAAACCTGCTCTAAGCACACACAAACGTGTTTCCTTTCTTCACTTCGAGTTGTACTTTTACACCGCTTCACCTCCAAAATCTTCATCTTTATACCTCTGAGTCTTTGCTATCTACCTCCATCAATGCAACTGCATCTGTTAATGCCTAATTTATAATAATATGCATATATTATTTAGCTTTTCATCATTTGTTATTGACTGTTTGTATGTAATGTAAATGTGCTGTTTAAAATGAAACAGCAGGGGCGACCTGAGAGTTTTAAACCTGATCCAAAGAGTTTCAAATCATAAATGTGTGGCAGAAACTCTGCTGTTACTACACCAAAAACACTTCTATTAGTAAGCGAAATTGAACATTAGGTGCTGATTCTCAGGTGATTTGATGCTTCTGATGTTCTGTAGCAGAGGTTCAGTTTGTAAAAGTTTTCGAGCTGATGCTGTTTGAGAGGAGGAGGAGTGTTAGCCAGTTCTGCTCACAGGAGGAGGTTTTATCAGCAGAGCATCAGCCAACGCAAACATCACACTCAGCCAAGTTACTCCCAAATTATTAATTACCGGAATCCCCTCCGCAACACTCCCACAAGCTTTTTTTTGTGTGTGTTTTCTTTCTCTTTCCTCCACTTTGATTTGATGTTTTCTTTGAAAGAAGCTGCACGTTAGCCGCAGCGTCGCCTTTTTGACTTGACAGCAGGAGTCCTTCCATCTTTCTCTCACAGCTACAGGTTTGGTTCCAGAAAAGGGATTACTTTCTTTTGTTTTTTTATTTTGTTTTTTTTTTTTCAACTTTGTATTTACATTTTTATTTATTATAANAAATCCATCAGAATTACCTTTAAATAATTTGAAGACTACATAATAATAAGAATTAGAAAAAAATTCAGTTGTACTAGTTTTTATGAAATTCAGTATAAACGATATACTGTATTTTTCTTGTTTACATGAATACGGTCTTTTTATTTGTCCTGATGTGTATAATAATAAATAATAATAATAACAATATATGTTTTTAGTTTTATAATGTCACCTCCACTGACCGTAAAGGTTCCCGAAAAGGCCTTGAAAAGGCCCGCAGACCACCTATTGATAATCACAGTTGTAGCTTGTTTTGTGGCTCTGAACACGCTTTGTTAGTGAGACAAGGAGCACAAATGGCTCTTTTGATCGTAAAGGTTGCAAACCCCCGTGTTAGAGGAACAGCTGCTGGGAACAGGTCAACCCTCTGCAGTGAAGATCTTAAAGGGGACAAAACCTGCAAAATCCACTGTTTTAGTTGTTAAAAGCATTTTGTTGTGTACTTGGAGTGCAGAAAAGTTTAATTTAATCTTTCCTGGTGCTGCATAGATATCGTTATAATCTGTTTGGTTCATATTTTTCAACTGGTATTCTCTATTTTCTATGATGTTTTCTGAACAATTACATCACAGCTTCTTTTTGATGGAATGGCCAAGTAATGTGTGAATTAACTGTGAAAAAGAAGGATTTAAAAGCACGATATGTCTCCTTTAAGCACTCTATTTGTATTACATGTCTCTCCTGAAAAATAGTATTTTGATCTCAGTGGGAATTCCTGGTTAAATAAAGGTTTTAAAAAATACTATAAAAACTAAAACGACAGCATCAAAATCTCCTGAAAATCCTACCTGACTGGGACCATATTTGTTTTTTAGATCTGGGGGGTCCACTCCTGGTTTATGAGAGCTGCTGTSCTACATGTTTTACTTGTTTCTCTGCTCCAACACACCTGATTCAATGACTGAAATACTTCAAGTTCTGCAGAACCCTGTTAATCATCCATTCGGCCAAATCAGGTGTTAGAGCAGAGAAACATGAACATGGATAGCAGCCCCTTGAGAACCAGGAATGAGCACCCCTATGAGACAGAAGTTGTTGTTTTGTTTGTTTGTTTGTGCTGATCTGGGGACGGCGGGTGTCAGGTGGGCAGCACTAATGTGCAGGAATTCAGAGCATCCATGGTGGCTTTGTGAATCCACGGTGTCACCGAGACCCCCACCCTCTGAAACTTTAGCAGGACCATGGGAATGAACCAAACAGGCGGCACATTAAAAGCTTTTTTCCCCCCACTCTMTGCTCTGAATGAACAATCATCGAGTCGCTGTATTGTACCGATGGCTGAGTGACGTGAGGCAGATTATATGGTGGGAGAAGATGGTGCTTTTATCCACTCCTTCCCTATAATTTAAAAAAAGAAAAAAAAAACAGAATATCAGTTTCAAACATGTTCACCTGCTCTGCAGTAAACTATCATATTAAAGCAGCTACATGTCACAAAGTTTTTGTGGGGTAAATGTTTGCGTTTACACTGATTTTTTTTTATTTTGAGCTCCTGATTGCTTCACTCCTTCGTCTTTCTTTCTTTTTTTTTCTTTTTTTTTTGAGATTGCGGGTCCTCCCCAAAACAAGGTTGTTAAATGTCTGCTGCTGGACACGCTTTGATTACTTGAAGTTTTTCTGGCTTTGATCAGAGCAGCAATCTTAGCAATGCAGCTTCCTCTTGGCCTGATTTAATTGGCCAAATCAACCTACTGAACAGGAAGTCTAATTGCTGCTGCTGTTTATGTGTTGTGCAGACTTTGCAGGGTGTGTGTGTGTGTGTGTGTGTGTGTGTGTGTGTGTGTGTGTGTGTGTGTGTGTGGT